CTTACTAAGGCGGTACCGTGACAATAACTAAATGAGACGACCGACTTCAAAAGGCTAAATAGCTACTATCACTCGCCCAAGTTTATAGAGCGGCAAAACCACAATCAAAAGTGGAGGTAGGCAGAAGAGGAGAAACAAACCTGAAGAAGTTGAGGAGGCAATAGAGGTGGTTGCGTGATGGAGCCAACTCCCGGAGCGGGTGGCGTTTGATGCGACTTGCGTGGGTACGCCAAGTCGAGGTGGGCGTATATGTCCTTTGGTGACTCCGGGATGAAGCATCCATACTCGCCTGGCGGCGTCCGACTCTCTGTCTACAGGGTACAAACACAAACGCGTAAGCATTCTCATTAATGTTAGGTGCGAGTCCGCGGTCGACGACGCACAAACCTCACCTACCTCCGTTGATACAGTCCTTGCCACACCACTACTCGATTTGCTACCTTTTAGAAGCCTATTCTGTCGTTAAGTCAAGACAGACTAACAACCTACGCACCCCATAACCAACAGGCACACCCATTGGACGAACACTGGGAAAAATATTTGCCTCAAAACGAGCCTTAAAAATTTCTTCTTACTTTCTATTCACTTGCTCCTCTCCACTATTGGCTAAAGGCTTAAATACTGCAACCGCACATACCAGCACATTTAAAATTCTCCTCATACTCCATCACTAACAATGAAACTCCGTAAGAAGTACATAATAGGAATCGAATGCACCATAAAGATGTCAGGAACTAAGACAAGATCTTCGACATTTTTTACTCAACAACTCAACTGTATCTCTCACTTTTGATATACACATCCTCCCCAAATTTCATCTAAACTAGATTTCCATATGCAAATCATAATACATTCACCTCATCCCATTTCAGTGCTACTGATTGAGGTGGGCTAAAGACACTGACACCGTCACAATTCCACAGGAAAGCAGTTTTTACCCAAAGTAGCGGAATCGATTCAGTTACCAGGACTACTACGAGTCAGTTCGATGTACAAGGCCACGGTGGCAATGCATTTGCTAACGTAACGTAAAAGGGAGTTTAAATGAGACTCGCTTCCCACGGTCTGTACGAGTGCAGGGTGCCTGATAATCTTCATGTATGCGATGGCGCCCGAAAAGCATCTAGCCACATAAGTCTAACCTAACGTCCTACTGCTATCACTACCACCACCATGTCCACACTTCCAAGACCAAGACCTTACTGAAATCTGCTATCAAGGTCGTCAGAGTTGATAATGAAAAGATGCAGGTAGAAGAAGTGAAGGCAATGAGCGGAAAGTTATCTACGTTCCCAAATTAATGAATGTCAGTCTGGAGATAAAGATCTCGAACCTTGACGCGTTTTTTGGATTCGCCTTGAAACTAGGTTAAAGACTGTGGATATTACTCATGCTTAGCTACTGCAATGACCGAGGTTAGGCCTATTTCAAAGCCGAAAAAATAGGTGGTGGCTTCCCGTTAAGTGTTTTGCAAAGCACTCACAGAAGGGACTGATTCATGCACCATTTCATGGCCATAAGACTATGGCGGCAATGTGTGTGCCTGGGTTTGTCCACGGACGGAAACAACCATGTGCTGAAGACGTAACAATTATGATTGAAGTGCACCAACCTGATGCAGTATGATACAATCCGAATATCTGCTCCTTTTGTGAATGCATCGAAGTGTAGTAACCTATCTAGACAAAAGTCAACTTTTGCCGACACAACTCGAGACCATATATTTCATGGTCTCTAGTTCGTACGCATAGTCTGCAGCGCCACAAGATTTAGCAGTGGGAAGATTTCCCATTTGGGTTGGGAGAAAAGTATTGCCTCATCTCCGTCACAACCCCTCGTCTTCCAGGGTCCAAATGATGACATTGGCATTAGCACTGGACCCAAATCACCACATGATCACGTGAAGTAGAGGTTAAAATTGGCAACAAAGGTGGGCAGTACAAGACTCTTAAAGGCTTTCAGGGGATTAAATGAGTCATGTGCATGTGAACATCGGGAAAAACATCCCTGCGCGAAGCTGAAATTACAAATCCTGACAGTTCAGAAGCCGTGATTCCGTTTTGGAGAATGAGACAGCAGTGCAGTCAGGAGAGAATCCTCTTCATTTTCCCTTTTCCTATCAAAAGTCTAGCCTAAGTCGTAAATACAATTAGACTCCTGATCAAAATAACTGATGAGGAGAAGTTGGCGTTTTTAAAGCGAGGTGCACCCTTACGAGTGTGTCCCAACGTAAAACATGCAAATGCCCAATACAAGATGAGGAAAAATGACAGAAACAACAAGGCTAGATAGTTCACAGGGCAAATGCTTACCAAGGCTGCAGGCTAACTTTGCACTATTCCACTTTCTAGTACCTTACATTCAAAGAGATGGGCTGCTAAAAGCAGTGTACGTGACTGCAGATCTCGTGGCATGTCAGGCAGGGGGACGGGAACGCGTACATCCGCACTGCTCCTTTTTGCATCTGCATTATAAGCCCTCACGTTTGTCAGCGCTTTGACGACTATCGAACGCACCAGAAATAGCAACAACAACAATGAGTGGTGACCTCAACGTTCATGTGACTTGCATATACCCTTGGATCTGACATTTTACAGTACAAACGCAAAATGAGAGGCTTTAGACTTTTCGATGTAGGCCAAATCTCATGGCATAGCAAACGGTTGACGTTATAGTAATACAATCGTAAGTACGAACGGGTCTTATCATTGCCTACCCCGGTGGGATGATTGAGTGCTCAACAAAAAAATACTGTCAGGTGAGAGTAATGTTGCCTACGGTAGAAGAAGGAAATGAATGGTATGAGACGGTCGTATTGCCTTAGGACACCAACCTGCGTACTTAATAAGAGGTAAGAACGCTAGTTCATTCATTCATTTCCTCAATCCTTCCGCAATCCATATCTTGGGACAAAACAATCTTCTCAGGAGTTCAATCCCTCTAAATATGCGCATAATTACTAGAGGTGGAGAAGACATGTGCACACAGTTCCACAATATCGCTGAAGACATTTACAAAAAGGACGTACTTGTTCTTGAATGCACGCACTCCTCTACCGATGCATACCAAAGCTTCACTGCACCACGTTTGCAAGCAATTCACGTGCATTTCAAGTTACACCACAAGGCACACGCCAGTGTCAACGCAATCATCAAGGCAACAGTAGTGATAAAAGTTGAGGTCATGCGATCTTTTTCACGTTGCAGCACCATGGCGTATTTGAACAATTTAGATACAACTCAACGCATACACACAAACATTCCCACTGAACTGGAGTTGCTAGTAGACAGAACCGTTCACATTTATTATCAGAGTTATGACTTCATCGATGAGGCAGACACATTAATGACTACCTAGTAGAAAAGTTACACTTATTTCATAAACTTACACTTACTTAATTTCTTTCAAATCGACCAGCGGAATGAAACAAACATCACTAAACGACGGAAGAATGCAAGCATGAGTGAAGGTCACTCCGTCTCTATTTAGCTATGTCGCAGGTGATGGCAAATGTCTAGCGTTTGAAATTCAAAATTAAGCAGAGCCCGAGAAACTTACATCAGAGCCGGGTCCAGTTGAGTCGGCTTTGTGTTTGCTGTTAGCAATGTCTTGTTCCAATGCATTGAGGAAGTTGAAGTCAGACTCTTTCACCTCCACCACATTATTCCTCGTCCCGTACTCGTTATCCACCATTGGCTAAAGGGTGAAAGCATGCGAAGTAGAGCATAGCTTGAAATCTACTTCCACTAACAGCAGAGGGAACCATTTCCGAACACAACGATTCTATTATGGTTTGAAGGGCAGTTTGGAAATCACATATCAGCAACCTATCCATATCAATGAAATTCGGTGGTAGTCTACTTAGTTGCATTAATCA